AAGGAAGAAAGGAAGAAAGGAAGAAAGAAAGAAAGAAAGTGGAGCGTTTGGGTGGCTTAGTCAGTTAAGCATCTGACTCTTGGTTTCGGTTCAGGTCATGGTCTCACAAGTTGTGAGATCGGGCCCCACATCGGGTTCTGCACTCAGTGGGGGGTCTTCTTGAAGATTCTCTCCCTCTGCCCCCCCATCCCTATCAAATAAATAAATAAATCTTTAAAAAAAAAGAATTATGCTAAATCTGTTCTACCTGTGCTCTATAAATGCAACAACAAAGCCTGGATAACAGCACAGCTATTTACAACGTGGTATACTGAATAGTTTAAGCTTACAGTTGAGACCTCCTGCTGAGAAAAAAGAATTCCTTTCAAAATATTACTGCTCATTGACAATGCACCTGGTTACCCAACAGCTCTGATGGAGATGTACAATGAGATTAATGTTGATTTCACGCCTGCTAAGACAACATCCATTCTGCAACCCATGGATCAAGGAGTCATTTCAATTTTCAAGTCTTATTATTTAAGAAATACATTTCATAAGGGAGCCTGGGTGGCTCAGTTGGTTAAGCATCTGACTTTGGCTCAGGTCATGATCTCAGCGTCCTGGGATCAAGCCCTGCATTGGGCTCCCCGCTCAGCGGGGAGTCTGCTTGTCCCTCTCCCTCTCCCTCTGCCTCTCTCCCTGCTCATGCTCTCTCTCAAATAAATAAATAAAATCTTTAAAAAAAGAAATACATTTCATAAGGCTATAACTGCCATAGATGGTGAGTCCTTTGATGGACCTAGGCAAAGTAAATGGAAAACCTTGTGGAAAGAATCCACCATCCAAGATATCATTAAGAACATTTCTGATTCATGGGAAGAGGTCAATATCAACAGTAGTTTAGAAGAAGTACATTCCAACCTTCACGCACAACATTGAGGGGTCCGAGACTTCAGTGGAAGAAGTAATTGTGGATGTGGTAGAAATAGCAACAGAACTAGAATTAGAAGTGGAGCCTGAAGGCATGACTAAATTGCTACAATTTCATGATAGAACTTGAATGGATGAGGAGTTGCTACTTATGGATAAGCAAAGAAAGTGGTTTCTTGAGATGGAATCTACTCCTGGTGAAGATGTTGTGAAAATTGTTGAAATGACAGTGCCTGGGTAGCTCAGTTGGTTGGGTGGCTGACTCAGTTTTGGCTGGGGTCATGATCTCTGGGTCATGGGATTGAACACCATGTTGGGCTCTGAGCTCAGTTTGGAGTCTGCTTGTCCCTCTCCCTCTGCTCCCCCCACAACTCTCTCTCTCTCTCAAATAAATAAATAAAATCTTTAAAAAAAAAAACGAAATTGTTGAAATAACAACCAAAGATTTAGAATATATCATTAACTTAGTTGATAAAACAGTGGCAGGGTTTGAGAGGATTGACTCCAATTTTGAAAGAAGTTCTAGTGGGGATAAATTGCTATCAAACAGCATTGCACATTACAGATAAATTGTGGAAGGAAGAGTCTATCGATGTGGCAAACTTCATGTCTTATTTTAAGAAATTGCCACAGCCACGCCAACCTTCAGCAACCACCACCCTGATAAGTCAGCAGCCATCAGCATCAAGGCAAGACCCTCTCCTCCAGCAAAAAGATTGACTCACTGAAAGTTCATATGATATTTAGCATTTTTTAGCAATAAAGTACTTTTTCTTTTTTTCATTTTTTTAAAAAGATTTTATTTGTTTAACTGACAGAGAGAGCACAAGCAGGGGGAGCAGCAGGCAGAGGGAGAAGCAGACTCCCTACCAAACAAGGAGCCCAGTGTGGGGCTCAATCCCAGGACCCTGGGATCATGACCTGAGCCAAAGGCAGACGCTTAACCAACGGAGCCACCCAGGCGCCCCTAGTACCTTTTCATTAAGGTATGTACATTGTTGCTGCTACACACTTAATATAACTTAACATAACGTTTATATGCACTGGGAAACCAAAAATTTCATTTGACTTGCTTTATTGCACTATTTGCTTTATTCAGTGGCATCAACCTGCAATATCTCCAAGATATGCCCATATTTACCCAAATGAGTTGACAGCTTATGTCCACACCAAAACTTGGTCATGGATGTTTATAGTAGCTTAATTCATGATTGCCAAAACTGGGAAGCAACCAAGATGTCCTTCAGTACATGCACGGATAAATAAACTATGGTTCACCCAGATAATGTAATATTACTCAGCAGTGAAAAGAAATGAGTTATCAAGCCATGAAAAGATATGGAGGAATCTTAAATGCATAGTACTAAATGAAAAAAATAATAATCTAAAAAGGCTGCATACCATATGATTCCAACTACATGACATCCTGGAAAAGGCAAAACCATGGAGACAGAAACAATCAGTGGTTGCCAGGGGTTAGGGTGGAGCAAAGGGGGAATAAGCAAAGCACAGAGGATTTTTAGGACAGTGAAACAATTGTGTATGATACAATAACGGTGGATACACATTATACATTTGTCAAAACCCATAGAATGTAGGACATCAAGTGTGAACCCTAATGTAGACTATGGACCCTGAGTGATAATGGTGTGTCAATGTAGGCTCACCGATTATAACACACGTACCACTCTGTAGGGGGTATGGATTGTTGAGGGGGTGGGTTGTACATGTGTGATGATAAGGGGTGTATGGGAACTCCACCATCTGCTCAATTTCGTTATGAACCTAAAACTGATCTTAAAAATAAAGTCTATTTTTTAAAAACCAATTTGCCATAGATTTAAATTGGACAGAAATTTTTAAAAATTAATTAGTCGTGTTTCTGGATTCTCAATCCTATTCCATTGATTCATAGGTCTATCCTTTTTTCTGTAATACACTGTATTGAATACTGTAGCTTTGTAGTTCAGTTTAGAAATCAAGTGTGAGTACTCCAACTTTGTTCGCTTTTTTTAAAGATTATTTTATTTTATTAGTTTTTAGATTTTATTTATTTGACAGAAAGAGAGAGAGCACAAGCAGGGGGAGGGGCAGGCAGGGGGAAAGGGAGAAACAGGTTCCCCTCTGAGCAGGGAGCCAAATTCGGGGCTCAATCCCAGGACCCTGAGACCATGACCTGAGCAGAAGGCAGACACTTAACCGAATGAGCCACACAGGTGCCCCAGATTCTTTTATTTTTTTAAGTAATCTCTCCACCCAACATGGGGCTCCAATTCACAACCCTGAGATTAAGAGTCACATGCTCCACAAACCGAACCAGCCAAGCGCCCCTCCAACTTTTCTTTTTCAGAATTGTTTTGGCTATTCTGGGTCCCTTGCATTTCCATATAAATTTTAGGATCAGCTTGATAATTTCTGCAAAACAGGCCATTGGGCTTTTGACAGGCATTACATTGCATCTGCAGACAGATTTGGGGAGTACTGTCATCTTAACAATACTATCTTCCAGGGGCACCTGGATGGCTCAGATGGTTGGGCATCTGCCTTCGGCTCGGGTCATGGTCTCCAGGTCCTGGAATCGAGCCCCATGTCGGGCTCCCAGCTCGGCGGGGGATTTGCTTCTCTCTCTCCCTATGCCTCTCCCCCTGCTTATGCTCTCTCTCTCCCTCTCAAATGAATAAATAAAATCTTTAAAAATATATATATATTGTCTTCCAGTCTATGAACATGGGATGTCTTTCCACTTATTTAGGTCTTCTTTATTTTCTTTCAATGATGTTTAGTAGTTCTCAGTGTCCAAGTCTTGCATTTCCTTTGTTAAATTTATTCTAAGCATCCTTTTTCCCAGCTTTTTTGAGATATAATTGACATATTATTCTAAATGTCTTTATAAATATATTTATTCTTTTTGAGACTATGTAGGCAGAGTCATTTTCTTAATTTCATTCTGGAGATTCATTGCTAGTGTATAGGAATACAATTGACTTTGGAATTTTTTTCCAGCTTTATTGAGATATAATTAACAAAAATGTAAGATATTTAAGGCAGACATCACAATGATTTGATTTACTTAAACACCGTGAAAGGACTCTTCCCATCTAGTTCATTAACACATCCATCACATCACATATTTACTTTTTTTTTTTTTCACATATTTACTTTTTTTGTGTGAGAACATTTAGGGTCCGCTCTCTTAGAAAATTTCAATTATATAATACAGTGCTGTCAAATATAGTTACCATGTTATACATTAGATCCTCTGATTTATGTATATTGCTCTTGTATCCTGCACTTTTCCTGGACTTGTTTATTAGTTATTTCATTGGGTGGATTCCTTAGGATTTTCTATACATGAGATCATGTATCATCTGTGACTAGAGATAGTTTTACTTCTTTTCCAATTTGGATTCCTTTAATAGCACGTCCTTGCCTAATTGCTATGGCTACTACCTCCAGTAAAATGTTGAGTACAAGTGGTGAGAGTAGACATCCTTATGTTGTTCTTTTTTTTTTTTTAAAGATTTTATTTATTTATTTGACAGAGAGAGACACAGCGAGAGAGGGAACGCAAGCAGGGGGAGTGGGAGAGGGAGAAGCAGGCTTCCCGCCGAGCAGGGAGCCCGATGCGGGGCTCGATCCCGGGACCCTGGGATCATGACCTGAGCCGAAGGCAGACGCTTAATGACTGAGCCACCCAGGCGCCCCGACATTCTTACGTTGTTTTTTTATCATAAAGGAAAGCTTTCAGTTTTTCACCATTGAGTATATAAGCCAAAGGTTGTTTGTTTGTTTGTTTGTTTAAGATTTATTTATTTATTTGACAGAGAGACACAGCAAGAGAAGGAACATAAGCAGGGGGAGTGGAAGAGGGAGAAGCAGGCTTCCCGCTGAGCAGGGAGCCCTATGAGGGGCTCAATCCCAGGACCCCAGGATCATGACCCCAGCCGAAGGCAGACCCTTAACAACTGAGCCACCCAGGCGCCCCACCAAAGGTTTTTCATAACAGGCTGTGGATGTTCTTTTATTCCTCATGTGTTGAGTGCTTTTTTTCTGTATATGTTAAGATGATCATGTGGTTTGGTTCTTTATTCTATTAGTGTGGCATGTTACATTGCTTGATTTTCCTATGTTAACTTGCATTCCTGGGATAAATTCCACTTGGCCCTTTTTATATGTTGCTGGATTCAATTTGCTAGTATTTTGTTGAGAAAGTCTGCGTCTATATACATAACAGGTAGTAGTCTGTAGTTCTTCTTTGGTGTGATGCCTTTGGCTTTGTAGAGTAAGTTAAGAGGTATTCCCTCCCGTGCTCCCCCCCCTTCTCTTCCTTCTTCTTTTTTCTTTTTGGTGCTTTAGCTTCACTGCATCTTCATCAGGTTGCTCTTTGTAACTGCCTTGTTCAATGGGGTCCCAGAACTTGGCCCAGTCATATCCCCGAAAGTTACAATTCACTGTGTCAACCATGTCTGCCCCCAAATATGTACTCATATATGTGGCGAGAGCCTTCTCTGGATGGATAAAACGTCAGTTCTCTGAAACACTGCATACCAGCTCTGAGGTGGTGGTTAAGGCCTTGGGGGAGCTTCTGTTACAAACCCGCCCCAGTCTCTTGGGTTGAAATGCATTTTTCTAGATTTTTGTGGAGGCATCTCAGGACAGGAAACATCTGCTCAGTTATGTTCAGGACAAGGGGGAGCAAGGTAAGGGAGATGTCATCCCTGTAGGAAGTGGGAGCCCATCTGAAGCTCTTCAAGACAACATCAGCCGAATTTCAGAAGGGATCAAGGGGGCTGGACGAGGCAGAGTGTTCCAAGTGGCACCATCTTGTCTGGGAGTCCACCATCCTGTCACTAGCTCATTGATCCAGAGTGGCTGCAGGTACCCCTAAAATCCGTTTTGGTTTTGCTTTGCTTGCATGGATTGTCATCATTTTGCTGACAAGTTAACACGATGTCACACCAACTTTTTCACTTTCAAAAAGTAGAAAGAGCAGAAGGACAAAGACCCCTCAGCCCCAGGAATAAGTAAGCCTGAGGGGAATTTGCAATGGCTATATGATGGGACATGGGGACTGTCTGTGGTATGGGGACTGGCATGGAGTAGGTGCTCAGCATATGACCTCTCATGGATACCTACAAGTGGGAAGCTGCTGTTGGGGTCCCCCAGGGTTCTCTAAGCCTGACAGGAGCTCCTAGGCCAGGAGGGGCTGTCACTGGCATCTGAAGGGCCCCAGGGGTGCCCTGAGCTGGAAGGCTGTGGATTGCCACCTTTTAGGACCAGGCTCAGAGCAGCCAGTATGAATTTTTCCAACTCAC